TTAAATACAGCACTTGCCAGAAAACTCTCAGCTTCGATTATAAGAAGATAATTTTTAAAGAAAAACAGTTACTTTAATGTTGCAGCTGTCGGTCAGAAACATGGCCAAACGTTCGATTCCCAGGCCAAATCCGGCCACCGGAGGCAGTCCGTACTCTAAAGCCGTGCAGAATGTTTCGTCAACAGGTCGAGCTTCTTCATCACCGGCGGCTTTGTCCTAAAAACAACAATGTCTTACGGAAGGATAAACAAATGAATTATTAGTTTAACAACGAACCAAATATTCAGTAAATAAGAGTACGATAAAGATAATTAGAAAAATGTAACTAAATAAAACGTAGAACAGAACGGGGAGACTTGCAGCGAAACCGTTCAAGTTATGCCATTACACAGTTTTAACCCACTTCAGAATTACTAGTCCGCGAAAAATAATTTCACCAAATATGCCCACTAAAATGAAGGCACAGTGTATCATTAACAGTTGAAACGGATACAGTCGGAACATTAAAGTATTGCGACACAGACTAGAACTGTGCCAAGTTTTCTAACGTAAATTTTGGCGCGTAGACTAAAAACATAATAAACGCACAATGCCAGTGAACCGAGTTTTGCGGTGTTACTGCACTAGTCGTAGTAACCATGAATATAAGGATTGCTTTGAGCAGTACAATCAGTAGCTGTACACAAATAGATTTTTCTTAATTTAACTGACTGTAGCAGTACCTTGCTCACTAACAACGATGACTAATATGCCTTGCAAAAATTCAAGCTGGGTTCTTTATCAAACACACTTTTCATGAACTGCAACAGCATCCTACACTGTCTCAAAGTATAGGATTCTGAAACATTATTTGTTTCTAGTGTTAGAAAGACTTTTATGACTGGAATGACGATGGAAATATGTTAAGTTTGATAAACAGAAAGACTACTCATTAATACATGTGGAGAGAATAAACAAACTCCAAACAAAAAGTCAATTTCGACAGACATTCAAGTGACACTGAGCTCAAATCACGCGAAAAAGGTGGAAGGCCACAGCGGAAACGGTCGCACACTCCACATAACGTTATACCTACTCTATCAAGTTATACAATGGCTGTAAAGTAACGCATATGTGCACTAACCTTTGCTTGTTGCTCGAACATCTTTCGTTGCATAACCGGGTCGTTCATTTCGGTGTACGCGTTGACAAGCTCCTTGTGCATGACGAACAATTCAAAGCGTTCCGTGAGACCGGGAACTGAGCGATGCCTGAAACGAAGCATACTTACGCCATCTTGAACAATAAATCAGCCAACAGCATTCGACTTAAAAGAACAGTCTGAAAGGCTAGAGCGAAGAGCCTTGCCTTTCGATACCACCCTTCTCATTCACATGATACTTATGAAACCCAGTACTGAAATCTAACGCCAACCGGGTGGACGACGTTTGAGATGAAAAATCAGATGCATACCGGTACGAGGTCACAGAACACTTCAGCGCCATGAAAAAGGCAATTGACTCGATCGCAGTGCAGACAGTACACAATGGGAAAAATGAAATGGCGGTAATATGAGTTAGAAAAGATGGACGCATACTGGTACCAACACTTATAAGGTTCCTCCTCTCATCGTCTCCG